GAGGAAATTTATAGCTTAAAATTAGATGAATTTCAGCTCGCAGTCCATCACTGAAGGCATCAAACTGCATGCCAAGCAGAAAGAGCGTCAGAGGCCAGACAGGCTCCCTCTGGCCTACACTGAGGCTACACATCGGGCGTCAGGGATGCTGGGAAACGGATCCACTTTCTGCCATGAAATAGTAATCGACTGCTCTTTCCTGACAGTGAGCAATATTCTGGCGGCCAATATGACTGCGTGTGACACTGCATGAGTGTGTCCCAGCTTGTGTTTACACCCATGTAAGACAATGACAAGTATAGCTGAACGTGCTCGAATGTGCGGGTGTGAGATATAGCCATGTTCACACGCGTCTGAGTTAATATGTGAAACAGTGTTTCTCAGGCTAGCAGGTCATAATACATGAAGGGTCCCTGAGATTACTTCTAATCGTTTTTTTTCTGTGGGGAGGTGCAGCTGTGTGGGTGGACTGTCCTTCTGTCCATGCTGTGTGTGCATCAGCGTAAACAGTCACACACTCACACTGATTAATGTTGGAGTCTGGAGCTGCAGAAATCCCCCACACACTGAACAGCACGACCATTCAGGAGTGACTCTAGGATGTGATGACAAGCAGCAGAGTGAGCAAATACTTTTCACCAAAGTGTTTTCTTGCTCCAAACCGATCAAAACTTGCTGATAAGTGTGTTTGCATGGAGGTGGAGCGGCGGAGGGGCGGGGTTAGATGGGAAAGGATGTAAAGCATCATCAGGAAGGTTATGTTTCACTTTAGGGACACGCTGATGATCAGTGAGAGCTCTAATGATGCAATAAGTAGATTTTAGAGCTTTAAAACTTCTGATAATGGTACCGGCGAACTCTAATGGTAACTGAAGATAGGAATCAAGAGTGCTTCTGCATACACTAGAACCGCTGTGGAATATATAAATGATTCCAGTTTTTCTCATTCTCTTTAGCTGAACTCTCAAGAAAAGCATTTTCAAAACATTAAACTCAAATCTCTGAACAATTAATTTGTCGTTCACAACAGATTAGAATTTCTCATTCATTCAAGCAGATTGCATTGTTTTGGTTTATGTGTGCAAAAAAGTAAGTACAATTCTCTACAAATCTACAAAAGAACTTGTTTATGACTCACTGATCAACACTGATAACTTAATCCTTTTGACTTTGTTCAATGAAATACTAACTACTATGACTACTTGCGTCGAAAATGGATAGGAAGAAGGAGCACTGGTTGTAGGTATTATCCCAACAATGTCTTCACTTTACCAGCCATGCCAGCATAGACAAAACAAAGATGGCTGCCCTTCAAAAGTGTCATCTTTTGAATGTTGAGGAGGTGGATGTACGACAGTCGAGCTAATTCAATAGGAGAGACGAGGACAAGAGCTATTTCTTGAGGAGTGTTTCAGGGTTTGTTTGTTTGTTTATGAAGATTTCCAGACTGTCATATATCACATCAATGCCTTACTTTTAATTAAAAAACTCTCAGCCAGATAGACGGTTCAAGTCAGGTTAATCTCCCTGCAAGGGGTCTTATGTCTGGGTTACATCTGCATGCTGGAGATGTTGAATAAACATTTAAGAGGGATTCTTAGTATCTCTATGTTTAAAAATGAGACTCACTGTGAGTACAAAGCTTCAGAGAATGTTTGTTCACAAGCTTCTTCTCACATGTCAGGTATGTTTCTCTGTGCATCAGAAGAGTAAGACTGCACTGAGACACATTGCTTTTTATTTCCATTATCTCAGTGATATACAGTTACACAGAGGATCGTCTGGGGGAAGATGACAATAAGGAGCGTAACAATACCTGAGCTTATTTCAGGGGGATAAGGGTTCATGTTCGGGCTTGGAATTTAAATCCATGCTGTAATATAATCTTGTTTGGCCGTTTAGGCAGGAGCACCGCTCAGGCTGAGGCTTCCTCTCCTGAAGCTGAAAGGCAGACCAGTAGCTTTCTCCTGCGCTCATTGAGATGTTCTCCTCTTTTATAGACTGTTTGTCACTGTGGGGAGTGGGCTGCTTTCTATGACTAATCCCGCTATAAACAGCTCTTGTGACATCCTCTGCTTGGTTCCTTTTTCTTGCTGGTATACTGAAATTAAAGGCGTAATAAATCATGGCACCTGTGAATTCAGTGTTTTCCATGTTTATTGCAGTGAAACTGTATATTTAAAGAGCCCTATTCCTATTCAACACACATGTGCAGTAAAGAGAGAGAGGGGGCAGCTGCATTTTTCGCTTTACTACACACATTAAGACAGAAGTGGAAATAGACATTTGTTTTAGTTTTTTTTGTGCTTGTAAGTTTTGATAAACGATGCTGCAGTTATCTGCATCAGAGCCAGTCATCCTTCCTCTGTGTATTGGTGGGGGGGGGGGGATCACAGGTTTCAGCAGCATTCACCAGTAACTGTGCGGGATGACTGAGTGGGTGGAAAAATGAAAGGCAGAAATCTAAATGTGTCTGACACAGCGTCAACTGAGCCTCTGTGGTCCTCTCGGAGAACTCTGGGTAGAGTGGCTGCAGGTACACGAACATAATTCAGGGGTGCATGAAGCATTACAGACCAATATGGCAGGATTAAACCCAGTGGCTTGAAAAAACAAACTAACATAATGCCTCAAAGGCCGTTTTTAAAAATGATCCCATCATTTGATCACAATGTTTCACTTCCATTGTCTTTATATACATGATAGTTTTTCTGCTTTTATGTCCTTACAGACCAAAAAATATGCTTGCTGCAAAATGTCACAAACTATATTGGTGTTTTAAAAGCAAGTTTTCTTGACCAGTGTACTACAGTGGTGTTTTTTTTTTCCATCTAGGGAAACCTCCATCAGCGGCTCGGCTCCTTCAGGCTCGCTGGGACTACAAGAATAACATTCAATCAAAACGTTTCATCCTGATGGCGGCCAAAGGGGGGAAAGAGGAGCTCTCTTCACTGCCTCTTGCCTCCTAGCACCTCAGTCTGAAGGGTGACAGGCAGTATTGCAAAGGGCTTAGTACTGCCACACAGCCAATCTCCTGGGTAGAAGAGTAAAAGCTCCATTTCTGCCTGATAAAAGCTCAATTGACCTGCTGATTCCTTCAGATTCTGCCCCGCACAGAGGCTCATAACTCTGCATGTAGCTGACATCAAGACATTCTTTAGTTAATTTTCTTTTAAATTTAGCCTGAATGCCATCATGCCAGGCTCTGTATCCAGACTTATCAAAGTAACCCCTCAGCTCAACATGTTTCTTGGCTTGTTTTTCATGTCTTCAGGAGCCTGTTATCAGCCTTTACAGCTGATAACTGACTGAGATAGGTGATAAATAATTATTCATCAGTGAGCTGAAATTATCCTCTTAGCAATTACCTGCTTAACATTCAGACAGGTCACATTCATGGCATTCAGGGAGCTTACGCCCTTGGCTTCCTCCTGACAACATGCTGTAGCTGAAGTGAACAGATAAGTGTCTGCTGAGGCGGGTTCATTAACACTCATTAGGCATTATGTACATCCCCACACATTGTCATTGTCGGAAGATGCTTTCTCCTAGTTCCTTTTTCAATGAAGAAAGACCTGGATGAATTATTACTTTATAGTCATAAAGTTATGATTGGACAGAACAGCTGAAGAGAGGCAGAAAATGTTGGGATGAGAGAGTCAGGGGGATGATGGTATATCAATGCGAAAAAGAAGCATATTGAATTGAATCTTGCTGTCCAATTCACAGCCAAGAGTTGGATAAGCAGATGTTTTATACATTAAGCAGATGTTCTTGACACATTCTCCCTTTGCTCACTTTATATCTCTGTTGTAACCACTCGAGCTCCGTCTAAAACGTGCAGAAGCATTTACCTGGTTGGTTTTCCGATGCAATGAAGCAAAGCATCAGCTCGCTGTGAGTGCAGTCACTGAATGAGAAGAAGCACATCAGTTTCTTTTTTTTTTTACATTTAAGATATATTATCACTATAGTGTTCCTCGATCCCTCTGGCTTTATAAAAAGAAAAAAAGAAAAACTTGTGTGTGTCCTCCCTTCAATAAAAAGAATGTAAGTTTGCAGAGCATCTTTAGAGTTTAAAAGAGCTCAGAAATGCTCTGAAAGGTTTGTTACTTTGATGCTAGAATCAAACAGATAATTCAATAAAAATGTCCAAACTTTATTTAACTGATCATCCAGCTCTATTCAAACATACCTATTAATTTTGCAACTACTCTTGAAAGTAATTTAAATTCCTTTAATTCTTGGTGAGATCATGTTGACCCCTACACTATGGCATGGCTCCAGAAACATTTTTAATTGAGGTATTTTAAAGGCAATTGTTGAAAATCCCCAAAATGTCACCTACAGATTTGACAGAGCCCCGTTTAGAATAAGAACCAGACTGAATCATCAGCCAGCCGATATTAGCTCGTCAACTGACTAGGGCTGGGAATCTTTGGGTATCTCATGATTCCATTTCAATTTTTGATTCAGGCAGTAGCTCAGTCTATAGGGACCTGGGTTGGGAATCAGAGCATCACCGGTTCAAGTCCCAGTGCGGACTAAGCATTGAAGTTGGTCTGGTAGCTCACAGTGCCAGATCACCTGCTGAGCACTGCAGAGGTGCCCTTGAGCAAGGCACCAAACCCCCTCCCCACCATCAGCTCAGCAGCGCCCGCTGTAGGCCGCTCCGCCACTCTGACATCTCTCCCTTAGTGCATGTCCATAGGATCCTGTTTGTGTGCATATATACTTCAGCCTGTGTGTGTTCATGACTACAGAGTGTAAAAACTGAAATTTCCCCTTGCGGGGATCAATAAAAGTAAATCTTCTTCATCACTCTCCAGAGTGTCAAGCAGTAATGCACATGTAGTTACTTTCCAGTTGAGTGACCATCTTCATTAAAAAAAATTTTTGCATTCGAGGGATTCCTAATATTATATTGACAGACACAAAAATCCCAAATCGGCCAGGTTCTTGTTAGAATGGTGAGTTAAAATGATGAGTTGACAACAGTGTGAGTTTAAATAACATTTACTTGCTCACATCACACACATACAGACAACCATGGCGGTACAGATGTGAAGATAGCAGTTAGAATCCAATCAATTGAAATAGATGACTGTCATACAGTACAGCTGCATCTCTTGGTCCATACACAACATGAGCAGTCTGCTGTGGCACCACTCTGTCACATCAGATTCAAACAAACAGGCAGAGAACAACGAAAACAAGAGGAGCAGCAAATTCATTCAAAACACCAGACCAGAGGCATGTATGATTAAGAAAACAAAAAAAAGTTGGACTCGAGAAAATGATCACACCCAACTCTTTACACAGCAAATAACACAGAAATGGTAAATGTTGATGGATGCAAAGCACAGTTCAGGCTCACGTGTAGCTGCATTTCCTAGCAGAAGTCAGAGGTAATGGGTTTTCACAATCAAACTGTCAATCAGATAATTATATAAAAAAAAAAGAAAAAAAAAACACAGGAGAGTCATGTCACTGACCAATCACCTGCCACAAGCTTCCATTTATACCAAAACTCCCACCAGTACTGAAACCTTTGAACACAGGCTGTATATCACTCCAGCTGCTATCTACTCTCCTAGAGATGCTCATTTCACTCAGTCAAGCCTCTCTGGCTGAGAGAGAGATGGTTTATGTTCCTGTATTCACCACCTGCTGGCAGCTTGAGAGATAGCTCACAGCACATTTCCAGCACCCCATCCAACCAACTCAACAATCCAGGTGTGGTGTTTGGACTTCCAAAAGACGTTCAAATATAATTTTGAAAACTGAACTCACACACAGAAAATATTTAACTTATGTACAAATGAGTGAGACGAGACTTGAATACGGCGGTGCAAACAGATCAGAGTTGTGACATGTGCCCTCTCCAAGTGCATCAATCGACAACTAATATAGTGAACAGACTCCGTAAACATGTTGGAGGCTGTGGCTCAAAAGACAAACGACGTGGAACAGGTAGGTCTTGAGACAAAACGTGCCGGAATTATCGGAAAAACTTCGTCATAAACATAAAGGCAGGTACATACAGCTGTCATTGGTGGATGGAAAGCTGCATGTGACCAACAAGTAGAGGCCTGAATCCAGAGTCATAGAGCAAAAGATACAACCCTGTGAAAAGGAAAGGGGAAACGAAAACACAACACGAAAACACCATCACATTTAAACAAACTACTGAACTCTTTACAGGAAATAAGGAAGGCTTTAAAAAAAAAAAAAGAGAGAACCTTCAAAGTAAAGCTTGTTTTTACACTATGCAAGTCCCTTTGCCTGAAATTACAGACAGCATCACTTAAGTCAGTTGTCAAACACAGAGCAGCCTCAAGCTGCCACTAAAAACAGGCCAAACCATCTGTAGCTCTGCTGACACCACACACACACACAAACACTGGAGTTAAAAACGCTTAAAAGATAAGACTTCATTAGCTAATTAACCATTTTTTCTCACTGTACAAGTTTCTCAACAAGAAATTAAAAGTCTAATTTAAAAAAAAAAAAAAAAAAAAAGGGGAAAAGTTAAAACTTATTTTACCAACACACTAAAAATCATATATACACACACACACACAGAAAAAAAGGAAAAAACAACCACCAAGAATTCCCATGGAGTGACACAACTGTCCAGATAGCAACAGGCTGCATTCCCTAGCACCCTCCAGGGGTCACTCACAGAAATACACAAGATAAATCCGAGGACCACCAAGCTATACAGTTCACTGGAGGAGGCCGGAGGAGATGCACACTGTGTCTTGGCTGTTGAATGGCTCGTGCATAAGGATGCATTGGGCAGTCTTCAGAATATACGCTTTCGCTTCAGGTAGGAGTCTGCATAGTGGCCACCAAGGCCCTGGGAGTGCTGGCCCACATAGCTGCCCTCTGGACTCGGCTCTGGAGATGGAATCAGTCGGGAGAACACGCGCTTCTGGCTTCCAATGGGAGTCTGTGATTGGTTAATAGGTTAATAAACAACATCTCAGTCTTAAAGCAGAAAAACATATTTGAAAAGTTGAAACCTAAACAAGCAGAGATGAAAGTTTGTCAATTACCTTCCCAGCATTACCAAGACCTGGGGGGGTAGTGGTCAGCGTGGCTTACAGGAGGCATTCCAACAGCCTGAGGAAAAACAAGAAACTCTCAGTGACCCCAAACTCTTCTACAGAGGCTCATGCACTCACTGCTCTACATCAATTATTGAGCATGGGGTTATTCTTAGACCTGACCCTCCACTTTTTATCCCTTCCAATGCTGTCAAGATGTTTATTCACTGACAAGTAACCAATAGTTTGAAACCAAAACAGAAGTTAATTGCAAGAAGAAGGGCTTACCCTGTTAAGCTGGGTGGCAGGAAGGCTACTGCTGCTACAGGCCTCAGTCCCTGAGCTGAAGTAAGACATGGGCGGGCTGGGAGGGTAACTGCAGTGGGAAAACTGCTCACTGAATTCATGGTGACGAGAAAGCTGCAGACACGACCAAAGAAAAGTTATGCTATTACAGGTTTATACTCCCCCCCCCCAAGATATACTACAAGTCATAAGATTCATATTGCATTCCTGCAGGATGGGAATTGCACCTACTGATCTGTGACTAGGGCAGGAATTGTGACAATAAGTCAGTAGCAGTTCTTATAAAATACGACATCATTGCTCATATTTTCTGGGCTGTTTTAATTCCTTATGGATTGGGACATGACAGTATGTTTGGTTGTGGATTGTAGAGTGAAGTGAAATCCACTCCAATGTCATCATCAGTCAGAGAGAATTCATGTCACATAATAGCATTTAAGGTTCACTCATGCAGTCTGTAACAGTTTACTAAACAGTACCTGGTGGCCAAACCCTGTCAGGGCTCCAGTGTCGATGTTCTCCTGCTGTTCATACAAGTGGGCCAGTGGATCCTGGGGAGAAACATGACATGGGTATCAGATCAGATGGCATCCTATAGCAGCAGTTTCTTTTTATAATGAGCAGATATAATGTTAACCCACCATGTCACCTTGACATCATGAAGCTACACCTAATAAGACTGAAGGCCATTAAGATAAGCATGGACTTCTTTAATTGACAAATCAGCAGAAACATAGAGGTTACCTGGTGGAGGGGAGGATATTCTGGGCTGTAGGAGTCCTGGTAGCGCAGGTTGTAATTTGGCTGGATGCTCTGGTGTGTGTGCTGGTTAGACACATTACTAAGAGTTGGCCTCTTTCTATAGGGGTGAGGTCTGCAGCTTCCTCCTGTGGGGGTGGGGCAGTCACACATTAACTTGATACCCCATTTGGTACAGAAAACAAAAAAAAACAGTTCCGATATCAGAACCACGTTATAAAAAATTAAAAAAAAACACTCACCTGACGGAAAACCATTGTTGACACTTAAAAAGGCACTCTGAGGATGGTTCCCATCTTTGGGAGGATCTCCAAGAATGGATACCTGACAGGGAGGGCAGAGTTGTAAACATTTACATTGGGATACAGAGCTGGACAAAATTCAAGATGCAGAGAGTGTATTGCGTCTAGTACTGAGGAACTCACCCCCTGTGCTGTGAGGCCATCTGCCCCCATCATGCCACCCATCAAAGGCATGGAGATGCCCTGCAGGGTGGGAGAGGAAGTCTGTGGGAAGGTGCAAGCTGCTGTTGGGGACTCCTGCTCCCTTGTCAGGGCTCTGCCAAGTGTCATCGGCTTTAGAGGGTTCAGAGGATCCGTCTGAAGCCCAAGACCTGAGACCCCACAGCCAAGGGGAATAAGATAGTGAAACAACTGAAATTACAATCAACTGAATCTTGTTTGGTACTTTTTTTAATTAGAATCAGTGAGAATCATGTCTTTCTAATCTACAGGTGTTAGCTTTCCTAATAAATAACATGCAAGTATAAAAGAGTTTTTACGACATATGTATAATATAGGAGGTGAAACCATGATTTAAAGGCAATGAGGACTACAGATGTTGCACATCTAAAGCAAAGTGAAAACATGCAGTGTGTGGTGAAAGATGCTAAGGCTGGGCTCAGTTGGATGGATTCCCAACCTTGGGGAAGGTCTCCGAGCAGATGGACTCCCTGCTGGACAGGCAGAGCCGCCAGAGGATTCTCCCCAATGAGTCCTACCTGCTGGCCAAAGGAGTGAGGGGAGAGTTCAGTGTCACAGAGGGTCACACAGCCTGGCTTCGAAACTTATCAACTAATCGAGCACATTTCAGTAGAGCTTTGACTTACTCACCACATGTTAAACTATGTCCTAACAGAACAGGTATTTGCACTTCTTTGTATACAAAAAAGAAAAGAAAAACCACTGCATCACTCAGAACCAATGAAAGAGAACACACTACCAGCCAGAGCTTACCTACCCAGACGTTTTTTTAAAATAACCAATCAAATAAAAAAGACCAAGATCCACTCCCTTTGCTACTGCCTCACACACAGAGAGCAAAACAAAAACACCATCATCACTCACACAAGGAACAAAAGGGTTCTCTTTTTTATGCAGCACCTGAGCCCACAGAAGATGGTTTCCCAGAAAGGCTTGCTAATGGTCAAGAAGGAAGGAGTGGGAGAGGATGAATCAAAAGGTGCTCAGCAGTAAGGGGTTGCACACACAGGTCAGAGAAGAACCAGAAAGAGGTGACAGTACCTGCTGGGCCTTGGCCTGGTTCTGAAGGAGCAGCTGGAGCAGCGCAGCAGAGAGGGCGGGGTTGGCCAGCAGGGGCATCGTAGGGGCAGCACCGAGCAGGCCTGCACACAAGGTGATTATTCAAACTAGGGCTGCACAATATTGGGAAAAAATTATATTACTTTTCATTCTGCGGTAAACATAAAGTATTAAAGAGAAAATGTAGTGTGTTTTGTCAGTTTTAAATCACTATTTCCGATTAAAATTATCGCATGCTTACAAAACAAAACCAGATCTTTTTAAACACAGATGGGTGTATCAGTTGTGCTAGTTATGTCATCAACCTTTTCTAAAAAGTGGCAGCATGACATGTTTTTGACATTGCCCATCCTGTGATGTGACTTTTGCACACACACACAAAACAATAACAGCGATATATTGAACTTATATCACCAAGCCCTTATAACAATGTACATATTCAGAATAGATCTTAAAGGCAGGGTTAATCATTTTCTCCAGATACACTTTGTAAGATTTTGTTGAAATTGTGTTTAGGTCCTGACAGAAATTAATAACTCATGTGCTCTGAAAAAGGAACAAAGAAAATCTGTCATCTGTAGCATGTAAAAACTTTGACCAATGTCTGCCATGAGGTACCAATCTGATGAACCTGCCTCCTTTGTCTCCCTGATCGTTCTCTACCCTATGCATGCATGAGCCCATACTCAAGACATGAGCTGAGGCTCACTTCTGGACCAATGGCGCTTTTGAGGGAGCACAGAGGGGAGGGGGTGGGTGCAGACGGAGCACTGAGGGAATGCTACTTTCAAAAATCATGCTAGTTTGAGAAAATTACCAACCCTGCCTTTAAATAAAAACATTGATCAACTGATGATGTAACTGCTCACCTTGTTTGTGTCCCTGTGAGAGTGGGTTGAGCAGCATCTTAAGAGTGGCTGGGTTATTGAGGCCTGTAAGTATCTGCATGGCTGTGGGGTCAGGGAGGAGACCTTTACCCCTATTCACAGCCTTGAAGGAAAGGGGATAAAAGAGAGGAATGAAGAACAAAAGAAAAGACAAAATGGAAATGGGAATTCAGTGCATGAATTTGACTTTATATACCATGGTTTGAGCAGCAATCAGAGCAGCCAACATGCTCCTTCCAGGAGGGCCAGGGGCACAGAAGGACACCCTGATATGCGTCCCGCCCAGCAGCCTGCCATCGGTTGGTCGCTGTGCCTCCTCGGCCATTTCAGCTGTAGCGAACTCCAACACGGCAAACCGCCGAAAACTTCCATCTTGTCCCTGTGCCAACTGTGGAGGAAAGAAAAAGCCAACAGAAACTGTGATGTTGGTGCTTTTTCACTTAGACTCAGGGGATGGACAGTACATGTTTGAGACCTTTTACAGGGCTCGACATTATAACTGGCCTGGATGAATGATTGACAGAGTCCAGGCCAGCTGATTGCACGTTCAGCCGGCTTCACTGCTGCCCCTCCCGCGAGCGCATTCGCTACTCTCAAATTGTACACTCGCACCCAGATCTTAGCGCAGGTTTTCTCTAATAATAAAAAAACAACACCGTTGGTAAAACGGTTTTAAAACCATCAGATCCCGACAAAAGCCGAGCTTAAATCAGCATTCAAAGGAAACAAATCACCTGAAGAGTTGAGTGACAGCAGGGCATGACGAAAACAGAAGGGAGAAAAGTTTGATCCACAGTGACAGACAGCTGGAGGAGCTGGAACACATTCAAGTTAAAGACTAGATCCTGGTAAAGATAAAAGTTATTCACAAAGCATTTTAGATCTTTACTTAAGGAGCTCTCTTAAGATCTAAGGATGAAGAGTTTCTCACAGAAGAAAGAAGGAGCGATTCCAGATCTATCACAGCCTCATTAATATCAGATTAAGTAGACTCTTACAGTTACAAGCATGGTGAATAAACATGAGCATGTAGATATAAGAAAATACACAATATTTGATATAATTAGAGCTTAATTAATTTAATAAAAGTTGTAATTGACTTTTGCATCAAAATGGTTCAAGATTAAATTGGCGACTGTTATTTTTTGGATAACAATTAACGTTCCTGGGCCAGCGGCTACAATGGTTGGGCCAGTGATTCTTGAAAACTAGTGGCCAAGAGGGCCACTGGTAATTTTAACTGAAAGTCAACTCCTGTCTTATCACACATGTCTGTTGGAAGTGCTCTGTAACAGCACAGAAAAGCACCAGAATGACTGATCAAACTACATGAAAGGGATGTTGGAAATCTTTCAAATTGATTACACATTAGTGGTTGGAAGCATAGCAGATAGTTAGCAGCCTACAAGAAAATAAACACAAATAGGGATTGCAGAGAGAAAAGGATTCATGTTAAACATAACCAATTTATCTTAAGTAAGAACATTCTGAGATTAACTGTGGACCAATAAACTCTTTCATTTTTAGAATTGGTGAGAAGCATTATTTTGCTGACCTTTTAAGTTTTGAATTTAATGCCCTTTACTGAAAGGTCAGTGGATGTGGCCTCAGATTTACTCTGGCAGTGTTTCATTGTTCCACAGGCAGGCCTGTTAAAACAAGCGCACGTGCTAAACTGTTTCCTGTTGAGCACCACATGACCCTCAAACATCGCCGCTTTTACCATAATTCTGAAATACCCTGAAACCAGCAGAAAAGTACCACTGTGATGGGCTAAAGGACATCCCTTTCTCTCATTCCAGAAACAGTGGCTGAATGACACCACATGGGAAAGTCAGGTGGTCATCACCATAGAAACCAGTAATGCTCACTACCATAGAAATTTTGAGTGGCCATAGAATCTGGGGTAAAGGTCAAAGGGACTGAAAGCTCCAATAGGGAATGCAATTTCACAAAATAGTTCATGCCACAAGGAGCCATTTAGTGTCGATTCTCTTAACTTTCATATACATTGATCACAAACAGGTCACCTCCAAAAACATCAGACAGCAATAATCAAGCACAGCTGCACAAAGGAACCAAAACTAAGGAAAAGAGAAAGCTTACCAATACCAACTTTGATTTGGAGTCATAGGTCGCATTCTGCTTAAAAATGTAAGCTGAAAGAAAAGAGGTAAAAGCTACAACTAATACCTTTTCTCATATCAGTTAACCAGCCAGATATTTTATCTATAGTATTTAATCTGTGAAACCACAACATGAAGTTGGTCTTCCAGAAAATTGTGATAGTCTAAAAATATCTTTTACATGTCAAATAATTTACTAAAATGATGGACACTGAATAACAGGACTAATTTAAAGTTTGCCAACCTGGTTTAATCGAATGTCTAGCCTCTTTGCATTAGAGTAATGACATTTATGATTCCTTGATCTGTCCGCCATCCAGCACCAAACCCTAATGGAAGCGTGTCAGAAGGGCAGCTCAGATGAATGTAGCCTGAATCAGCTGGATTCACAACATTACAAGAGAACTAAAAAGGTTGCTTGTGAATCATGAGATTGCGTGTTAACAATGTGTAAATACAAAACAAATAAAAGGTCAGTTTTCTTTACCAAGTTTGATTTACTGTTCATTTGGATACTAATCTGAGATTTTTTTTTTTGCTTCTACCATATTATTACATTTTTCTCAGCTTGAAGCGTTTCAGGTTAGCTTGTTCTTCTTTGAAAATAGACCAGGCACGCATTTCTAGTGGAGCAAAGTGGCACTTCTGGGACACTTCTGAGACAGCTACGGTGCCTAAAGTAGAAATACAAAGATTGACTAGAGTAGGCGTGATCAGCTCCTGAGGGCGCAGCATAATGAACCACCGCACACGTGTATTGTGGAATCAAGGCTTTGGTAATTAACACGTGTAATGTAACATGTGTAATGTACCGTTACTTTCTGTCAATCTACTAATTCATTAGAAGGACCAAGAGATTCACATCCTATCAGGAATACTATTCATTAGGCCTGGCAGAAATACTATGAGAGTAATTACTACTAGAGTAGTAGAATTGTGTGAAGTTTTATGTTTGTATGAGGTGAAATTGACCTGGCAGAAGACTGGTGCATGGGTGTCAGCTAGGGCGTTGCGGAGGTCCATGGCTGTCAGCAGGCTTGGGGGCAAGCGGTCCACACACAGGCATTTAGAGTGCAGCAGTGGGTAAGTGAGGGAGCCCACCTCGGTCCAGTGAACATACAGCATGCGGGAGCCCAGCTGCTTTCCTAAAAGCTCAGACTTGGCCCTGGCTGCAGAGTCCTTCTTCATGTACTCCACAAAGCCATAGCCTTTGGAGTGGCCTGTGGAGGCGCTATAAACCAGAAAGCATCGCTCCAGGTTACCAAAGGGTCGCACCAACTCCTCGAACTGCTGCTGCGTGAACGCACAGGGCAAGTTGGCAATGCACAGCAGAGCGTCTGTTGGCTGCAGCTGCACAGAGATCTCCCTGTCTCGTAGCATATGCTGGTGGAACTCTTTGATTGCACACTGTGCCTGTTCCCCATTGAGCAGTGTGACAAACGCTGAGGGTCCAGGGAGAGAGGGAGGAAGAGAGACAATAACAACAATTCAGGGTTAAGTGAGGAAGTCAATCAGTCAGTGTTAGGAGAAAATTCTATTATCTTTCACAGCAGGTCTCATGTGGTTGTGATACCATTTCTCCTTAAGTATGCTGGCACAGTGTCACATCACAACACATTTAGACAATCCCATTGGGCAGTAATGGCTGTCACCAAAGCTAAAAAAAAAAAAAAAACCAAAGGCAGAATGATTTTGATGTGACTGAGCATCCTTTTAATAGCAGCCTCATCCAGGCTATTTTTTATTCAAATCCTTTTTTAAAAGTTAAATGTTATTAACAGCTACTTTTAGAATGTCTTCAAGCATGAGAGACTTTTAGTCCTCTGCATTTCACCTAAACAACATCTGATTATGACTGGTTATCTGCCACAAAAGATTGGTAGAAAGATACGAGGCATATTCTCAATTTAGCATCTGGCCTCGTATAGGCCCCTTTTAGATAAAATATGTGTTAAACCGTTCTGAAATCATTAGTCAAAGCTGATGTTTCCAATGCAGTTTTCTACACATCTGCTCTTCTTAAAAGGCTCTTTTTTGAGGCCTAAAACAGCAAGCTGATCTTTGATTCACTTAGAGCATAGTGAATCGTTTTATTGGGCAAACACAGTTGATTCAACACCCTTGGGATCAATTAAAAAATATATATTTTTGTTTACGTATTTTAATTGCAAAAAGAAGCTGTCTTGATGCATACAAATGATGACTTTGTGCTGTGACAAGTCACAAATTTAGCAATATTCATTGCCACTGTGGCCTCAAAGTTTGTCAACTGTTTTTTCAAATCTTGTATTGTTTTTTTTAATTATTTGAAAATGAACATTAAATATCTGAAAAGATATATAACCAATAAGACCAACCTGTTCCCTTGTATTTGTCAACAAAGCAGTACTTCAAGTCATAGTTGCCGAGCAGTTCATGAACCTCCTGTAAAAATGAAAAGGCTACAATTATATCCAGACATAAAATGAATAATTTCACATTATAGCACAGTGTAAATAATTTTATGGGTATGGTAATTCATTATTCATTTTGAGAAAATTATTATGGTATGTAATTGTAGACTGTTTGATCATAGATATTGCTAATCAAACAATTAACTAATTCGTGTCCACTGGGTCACTAGCAACAAGTGCACCTGTGGGGGGTTGAGAGTTGTATAACTGACTCATTGTTGTAGTAAAAATTGTTCTGTGCTGCTTTTGACCAGTCACGAACGAATGGCGATGCTGTCTAGCATTTTCTGAAACGTTTTGTCCCCACACCTTCCACCTTTTGTTATAGTGCAACTCACATCTCGAATCCCCCCCACTGAACAATGGTACCGCCCGCAGGCCCAGCTCTCCCAACGAGTCAGGCACGTTCCAAATAAAAATGTGGCATCATGTGTAAATCACAGTCACACGCTTAAACTACATAGAGCCCATTAGTAATACACATTTTTAAATCTAATCTGCATGCTTTTACCGTTTAGTGCTACTGCTTGAAAACTGAAAAGAAATATGAATGATTTATAATGTTTTAAACCTACGAGGCCAGACTCGCAGGTCATACAGGCCACAGTGACCATTATTGACAGTTATCTGACCACCTGGCAGTTACACACAGCAGTGATTGTCAGTTTAAACTAATATAGTTAAGCAATGCACATTTGTTTTGGTGACTACCAGTATATGTTATTTCTAATAAAACAAGTTGTAGAATTTACTAACGCAAAATACAACATCAAAGTTAAACAGCTACCGAGATAAATGGCTAGCATGCTAACATTGGTAGCATGGCAGGCATACTGGAGCTAGGCTAGAGTTAGCCAGGCGAACCCATCAATCAATCAATCAATCATTTAGCAATTTAAACTCAATCTTTAAAGTATCCTCACCTGATTACTAACGTCGGATGGAAGATTTTTAATTATAATTTTTCTACGGTTGTAAAACTCCCGGCGAGTTCTCTCTAAGCGGCTCTGTATTTCTTCGGGGCTCACTGATGTCAAGTCCTCGTCGACCCGACGCTGACACTCGCGTTCAGGAGTTGAGTCCTCTTCGCCGGCCTCGAGTTCGGAATGCCGGTGGCCTCCGGTCATCCAGTTTTCGTTGTCCTCAACGGGGTCGTAATTATCGTGAAGTGGACGAGTGTCGAAACTGAACCCTGTATCTGTGTTTTCATCGCTGGCAGCGGTGCTAACAGACACGACGGCCGCCATCACTGAGTTTGGTGGAAGTTTTATCGCTCTGGACACTGAGTTGGATTTGAGCAGTTTAAACAATACACACATGGCCCCAGCGCCGCTTCCTATTGGATGAGAGGAGGACGTATCTCCACGATGACGACGTCACTGACAGCGAGGGCGGGGCAAAGGTTGTTGTATCGGTTGAAAGTGTTCTCCTCAAAACTAGATTCAAACGGATTTTACGGTTTCCCCGTTCGCTGTAATCAGCCCTGCTTTGTTTGCACTGGATCAGATTTTCAGATTTGGACTATAAAGACGGCTGAATAACTGTAAAGACACGGCAAACACATAAAACAATCACATTAAAAAGCAACTCTGATAATAATGTTCTCCTAAATGCACCCAACAACTTTCCTGATATACTTTAAGTGTGTAGTTTATTAAACGATTGAGGTTATAAGCGAAAGAGACCCTAACCTTTGGGACTTCTAACTCAGACCTTAATTTAATTAATTGCTTTGCTTAAAGATTTTCTTACAAAATAAATACTATTTTAAAGCTGTTATTATGTACAGTATATAGTTATTTATAGCCGTAATAGTTAGAGATGCTTAGTTGTTTGTAGGAGTCTACAGGTGGAATAATCCAAAATTATATACAAATGTGAAAATATCAGTACATCCCTAAGCTTGTGATCTGTTTCAGATCAACATATTTAGTAGTTTTTCCACATAGGACACAAATCTGTACAGCTAATTCTGAAAAGCACTGTAATCACTTCCAAGACTGGTACATCAGACTGTTTAAGTATTTAATAACAATGCAAATGAATAACATTTCAAAAGACTGTTCTGTTGTTCTTTTGGTATACTGGTATATAAAATAAAACCCAATTAAACATACGATTAGGAAACATACAAAGATAAACCTAAAATTTAAGACATTATTCTTACAAGCATAGAGAAATTCTTAATACATGAAGTGATGTTGCAAACTTGAACTTTCAAAAGACAAAGGCTGACACTTGTTGCCTGTCTGCTAACGACATCACCTTATATTATCTCTGGTAAACTCATCAGCCAAGAAACAATTTACATTGACTGAGTTCATCAAGAGAGGAGCTGTGTGCTTTTATCAAAAAGGAACCAACAGCATAAGATAACTATTCAAATGAATGCAGCAGGCAAACAAATTAATAGCTACCCTATATTCATACTGTATATGGCTGCTACAGTGGCAAAGTGATCACAAGAGGACAGGTAGATTTTCAGAGTCCCGATCAGCAAATCTGAGCCGAAGAAAAGTCTATATTCGACTGCCAGTCATATTTTTGACGAATACCCTCAAACTTCTGGATGAGGGATCCAAAGGACAGCCGTTGTGCAGGTTCTGCAGCCCAACACTGCTCCATTAACATCTTCACCTGTTGGAAACAATAAAAAAAAAATGTCACACAACACATAATGCAAATGATGTTCATTTATTTAAATGGCCTGCTATATTACCTCATGTGGGCAGTCTTTGGGACAAGGCAATCGCCGCTGTTTCTCCAAGAGCTTAATGAGTACCATCACTGTCATCTGTCCATGCGTTTCGTCCATCATTTCAAAGAACTTCTACAATAAAAAAACAAAACAGAAAAAGAGTGAATTCTACATTGAGGCTAGGATTGTAGAAACACCCAATACATTTGAGATAAAGATATGTGCAGTTAGTACG